AAATTCTGGTCAAAAATGTGACTAAAATCATTAAAATACCGAATATCGGGAGGCACCGATATATGGGTCTATACGATATCGTAGATATAGACAATTCTTCTCCATTGGGTAAAGTACACAGAAGGAAATCCTTTGTGTGTTTTTTAGACTATGATCAAAATACCGAATATCGGGAGGTACAGTTATGTCTGGGATATACGATATCGTGTGCCTATATAGACAATTCTCTTCCAGGGGGTAAACTTCTCAACTACAATCATTAAAATACCGAATATCGGGATATACGATATCGTGGGACACCTTCGAACTTGTCCTGCCTGCACACAAAAGACTAATCTGTGCAAAATTGTATCTTCATATCTTAGTTCGTTTTGACTCTAGCGTGATTGCAAAAGATGGACGGACGGACAGGGCTAAATTAGAAATTTTCAATAGATAACTACAAGAGGTCACTTCATTTTCAGTGGAAGGCATCAAGAAGACCCTAAATGTTCTTCCTCCCTGATAAGACACAAAAATCTTTTTCAAGAAAAGATCGCGCGAGGTCTTTTTCGTTGGAAGTCAAGTGGTTTCTCAAATAGAAAACTTCAAGGAATCTCTTTTTTCTAAGAAGAACTCATGGAAACTCCTTTTTCTAAAGAAAACCTAATGGAGTCTCCCGCTACCAATGAAGAAAACTTCAAGGATTATAGGAGCATAGTTCTTCTAAAGAATACCTCAAGAATTCATGCCATTTTACGGAATATTTCAATAAAACCTCAAGAACTCACTTTTTCCAATGAAACTTATTTTATAGAAGGCTCCATGGAAAACCGATTATATTCAATGAAAATCCTACAGATAGGAGGAGCTTTGATTGCACTACAGAAGGCTTTTAGAGGTCTTTTTCTAAAAAAGAAGACTTGGAGGAATCTTCCTCAGAATTATTCGAAAGGAGGTTTTATATAAGGCTATACATAAACAAATACTTCTACCTTGGTGGAAGAGAAACACTAAAAAGTTCCATCTGTTATAAGAAAACCTCAAACGTCATTTTACTTTGCATGTACAAGGTAGCTGAAGGTATTTGCCTTTATAGAATATTTTAGGATTACCTAATTTCTTTTCAAAGAAATGAAAAACCTCTGGCACTGAAAACGACATCCATCTCAAGAGATGACATCAATATATATTTTTTTTCTCTAATAGGGGAGTGTTAAGCAGCCTATAGTCCTTCGATTTGCCACAAAAAATGTTGACCATTTTGGTACCAGAAGGAGTGGACCGATATATTCCACCTTTACTCCAGACCTTGGGTTAATAAAAATATTGTGATGTGTGTAATTTGGAGTTAATCGGACTCTTACATCACATTTTAAAAGAGCTATAAGTATTCAAAATGTTGACTCTTTGTGGAGGAGGTATTCGATGGCGTTGGCCGATATTGTCCATATAGTCAAATTTTGGTATTTTAAGAATCGCACTAGCAGACAAATATCAATATTAGTTCACGTACCGATTTCCCCATCGATTTACCTGAAAGTTTGTATTTCGGTGTATTCGGGGGTAGAAAACTTTCCAACAGAAGGTACTGTAGAAATATCACGAACTATGTATCTTGTTCATTTTAATAGTACAGATAATGTATATACAACATTGAAATATCAGGGATAATGTATCTTTGTCTATTTAGTAGTATAGATAATCTATCTACATCATTATACCCTACAACACTATGTGTTGGGGGTATTATAAGTTTGATTGGGCCAAAAATTATGTAACACCTCGAAATATTGGTTTCCCACATAGGAAAGTATATATGGATCTTCCTAGCTCGCCGAGCTGAGTCGATCTAGCTATGTATGTCCGTCCGTCCGTCTGTCCGTCTGTCCGTCTGTCCGTCTGTCCATGTTAATTTGTAATCACTCTACAGGTCGCAATTATGGCCCGATCTTCACGAAATTTAAAATGTAGGTGGGGTTAATGTCAGAATAGAACCCTATTTCTTTTGGAGATGATCGCCAGATGTTTAGGGGTTGAAATGGACCAAATACTGAAAAAATGTCGGATTTTACAGTAGCTATACAGGTCGCAATTATAGACCAATCGACGCGGAATTTCGCATGTAGCTAGAGTTTAGGGCGGGGAAGAAGCCTACCAATTTGGGTGGTCATCGGATTATATTTAGCGGGTAAAATAGACCATATCTTTTGTATTGAAAAAATTCGAAATTTTTCATTAAACCGCGAATATTTTAAATCCCGGCGAAATCACAAAGCCATGACAGGGTTACTTCTGATCTTTACATTGATGTTAACATCCAACAAATCGGATATATAGCAAAATATGTGCGACATATATGTCTATCAAAGAAGATATGCTTGAAAGATCTCTTATATGTCGAGAACGGCTGAACTGATTTCGACAGTTCTCATTAATTCAGAATGGCCTCTTGGCAGGAAAGAAAAAACGTCTAACAAAATCGCATAAAAATATCTCTCTAAAGATGAAAATATTGATTTTGTAAAATTTTCTCATATTTTTTAAATTTTGTCATATTTTTGGCATATTTTCATTTTGAATTAAACATTTGGTAATATTTCTACAGCTAACAAAACTAAGTAGTTAGGATATCAGGATATCATATACAGATCGCATTTATGACCCGATCCTTACGAAATTTTGCATGGGGATAAGATGAGGGTCAGAATAGAAGCCTACTCTTTTTGGAGATGATCGCCATATATTTAGGGGTTGAAATGGACCAAAAAACTGCAAAATTGTCAGTAGGTCGTAATTATCGCCCGATCCTCAGGCACATTTGAATGGGGGTTACTGGACATTGCAAAAGCCAAGCAGTTTTGGATGGCCATCCAAAAATATTCAATGTGTGAAATGTTTGCCAACTTTTGTAGAAAAAATACGAAAATGTCCATTCCAGTGACTTTTTGGAGAATTCACAAATACAGGAAAGACGCAATTCTGACTATTTCGTTAACGCTGATTTCGTGGAAGAATATAGTCAAATGTCTGTATCTCATATAGATGCGTTTCAGTCAAAAACCAATAATAAATGTTAATCTTTTGCCACTTCTGAGAGATTATAGGTCTTTGGGAAATATTGGTTCCAGATCTATGAAGACCATTTACGTGCAACATCTTCCAAAAAAAAAATTGGAAATGAGCAAATTAGTTAAAGTTGCTATTATTCGAAAATTAGAGAACGAAACCTGATGTGTTTCTTTTATTATTTGTCACAATATCTTGTGGAATTCTTTCGAGTATCTCGCCCATATAAACTGTATCATTTATTATAGTGTTGTAGGGTATTCAACGGTCGGCCCCGCTCGACTGTAGCCTTTGCTTACTTGTTTTAATAGTATGGATAACGTATGTATATCATTTAAATATTACGGATTATGTATATTCGCCATTTAAACACGGATGATGTATCTACGTCATTTTAATAGCATCGATAATGTATCTGCAACATTGAAATATCACGGATAATGTATCTTTGTCTATTTAATAGCATGGATAATGTTTCTATTGAACAAGTAAAAAAACATTAAGTTCAGCCAGGCCAAACTTTTAATACCCTCCTTTACCTAAGGGTAAAGGAAACATTAGAAGAAATGTGGCAAAAACCATTAAAATGCCGAATATCGGGAGGTATCGTTATATGGGGGCTATACCAAATCGTGGACATATACATGCAATGTTTCGCCAAAGGAGCTAGAGCCCATTATGACCTACAACTACCAATTTTCAGACAAATACGTGAAAAAATGTGGCAAGAATCATTTAATTACCGAATATCGGGAGGTACCGTTATATGGGGGCTATACCAAATCGTGGACCCATACATGCAATGTTTCGCTACCGGAGCTGGAACCCAATATGACCAACAAATACCAATTTTTAGACAAATCCGTGAAAAAAAATGTGGCAAAATTAATCAAAATACCGAATATCGGGAGGTACCTTTATATGGGGGCTATACCAAAACGTGGACCTATGCATGCAATGTTTTGCCACACGTACAGGGACCCGTTATGACCTACAAATACCAATTTTCAGACAAATTCGTGAAAAAATGTGGCATAAATCATCAAAATATCGAATATCGGGAGGTACCGTTATATGGGGACTATACCAGAACGTGGACCGATATATCTCATTTTCAATACCAACCATCCTAGACACAATACAAATTGCTCTGCTAAATTTTGGCGCTCTACGTCAAATACTGTGGGCTGTATCGTGATTTCAACAGACAGATGGACAGACAGACGGACATCGTTAAATCGACTTAGAATTTTATGCTGATTATGAATATATATATATATATACTTTATGGGGTCTACGACGAATATTTAAGGATGTTACAAACGGAATGACAAAGTTAATATACCCTCCTTTCGAAAGTGGAGGGTATAAAAACACCATTATCGATTATCTGTCACAAAATTTCCTTGGGTCTATAAGAGGCCTTGTTCTTCAAAAGAACCTCAAATGCAAATTTTTCTACAGAATTCCTTAAATGACAATTTTAACAAAGAATCTCAAGATGTATGCTTATGTAATGCCTCATAGAAGACTGTAAGAGGCCTTGACCCGCTAAAAACATCTCATTTCTCAATTAAAGATAATTCCGTTTTCCAGCACTTTTTACTTGTCACATATCCACCACTTAGTTGGCACCACTGTTTTGGGGGGCTATCAAATAACATATTGTTGCTATTTAATTTGCTCATGCTAATGATGTTTGTTGGACTTAAAAAGATAGTTGTGGCATCGCTGTTGTTGTTGTTTTTGTTGTTGCTGGCATCACAAACTTGGTTCGCTAAGCCGGTATTGAGCATCATTCCAAACTCACACAACTAGTTATGTATTTCTATTTAATTTGTTCTCCCCACTATGTGTGAGAGGGAGTGTGTGTTTGGATGTGTGCGTGAGAGTTTATTTTATTAAATCTGTCTGATGGGATGTGATGGTGGTATGAGACCCCATAAACAGTTGGTCGGTTGGTTGGCCGGGCACTGTTAACGGTGTTGTGTTTTGGCCACAATAATTTACTGTTGTTGGTTGGTTGGCTGGCCGTTTGGTTGGTTGGTCAGTCAACATGTTGTTGCTTTATGAACAACAAACTCTGATTATCTGCGGTCGTATGGCGTTGTTGTTGACCAAGTTTGGTTTGAGGTTGGCTGGTATTGACTGGCTGGTATGATTGTTTTGCCGGTTGGGCAAGTAAGTCTCTTCCTTCTCCTCCTCCTCCACCACCACGTGAGACACAACGGTGAATATTTTTTTAAACATCAGCTGGGTATATTGTGTCTGTGTGTGAGACAGAATGCTTTTCCAAAGAGTATACCAAGCTACCTACCTGGCTGGTTAGCTTATGTTTGTTTTGTTTTTATATTATCACAAGTTACGGTGCCTCAGAGCAGGCGGTTGGTTGATGTTTTCGCAGTATGGTTGTTGTTGGTGTTGGTATTACGCTCATAGCTGTTTTGTTGTCTTCATTGATTTTTCCCTCCGATTGTATTACTTAAGCTTATTTGAGTTTAAGCCACATCTAACTGAGTATTCAGTTGCGAATTTCATACAAAACGGAGCGGTTGTTTTGCAGGCAGCAAACAAGTCTCAGCTAATAAAAAAAAAAACGAAAAAATGAAACAAAATTAAAAACAAAAATCTCATAAAAATTAGCATCTATCCCCTCCGGCTCAGTCGGTTGTCGTGTTTACACCCAATCACCCCATCCCCCATAGTGTTTGTGCCTTGTTTGATCGCCATCACCCCGTCAACATCAACACCACCATCACCGCAGCCACTGCCATCAGCATCGTATCCCGATGATGAATAAGTGCTAAAAACCAAAAAAAAGTGTTCAAAAAAGTGAAAATAATTTTTTGTTTCTTTCTGTTATAAGCTGGGCAATGCTTAGTTAAAAGTCAAAAAATTTTTGGTAAAAAATTTCAAAAAAATACAAATTCTGAAGTTTAACGTAACATTGGAATTTTGTAGAATTTCATATCGTTTTCAAAAAATAAGTTCTTAACAAGGCCCAGAAACAACCACAACATCTTGACAAAATGTTTAACATGCGCAATCAACTGGATAAGGTAAGTCAGAGTTGAATGGCCCGCAACACCCACACATGGCTGTTACGAAATGAAAGTGGAAAGTTTTCGATGATTTCAAAATAATTGTGAAAGATTCAATAATAATTGGCAATAGAGAGGAACCCATTAAATCGGTTGGAAAGATTGATAATGAAGTTTGATACAACATGAATAGAAATGTGTAAGTTGTATAGGAGACCCAGTGGTCAGAAGTGTTGAATTTTGAAGGTCCTGGGGGAGACCGAGATTTAAAAATAGGACCAAGTGTTAATTCGATGCCACAATCTGTAAACAGCAATTCAATGTTCGAAAAGTCTTTGAGAGAACGAAATTCTCAATCAAACACATGAGAGTGACATAATAGATGTTCGTTCGAACGTCTCGGTCTCAGAAGCTATTGGCGGTAGCACTGTCCCATTTTGATATCAACTTCGTTTGTTTGTTATTGTTTTTTTTTTTTTTGTTTTCTTTGATTTTGAAAATTAGAATATATTCAAATTTTGTTGACATTTCTAAATTCTTGACGCAACGACAAGTAAATTAAAATTTTAAAAATTGACCTGTTTTTCGAAACCGATCGAAGAAAAATCGAAACAAAAAAGGTTCCAAAACCTGGACGACTATGAACATGTTAGTACGATAAACGATTCTTACTTTTAATGATATCGAACAAAGATGAGGAAGAAGACCTCGAAGGGCCTCTCTCACAATAACTCCTTCTTGATTTTAAATATAGGGCCCTCTCGGGAGCCTACTTGAAGCTCCTTTGTAAAAATGCTATTCAGGCAAACTTTTTGGTCTTCTGCCAAAAGTCTTTGGGTGTTTAATGAGACATTTTCCTGAAATTTTGTGACTGAGGATTCTTTTGCTGTTCTCCGAGAGTCCCTTTTTGTCTCTTTGAGAAGCCCCTCTGTTCTATTTTTAAAAGCACATATCTAATCTACCATGAAAACCCTCATATATTTCTTACATCAGAGGAAATTCCTTTAATCTAATATGCGAAAATCTCCTGGTCTTTTATAAAAGGTTCATGGTCTTCCAGGAGATACACATCTGACCTTCTATGAGTAGAATTTCAGAGAAGACCTTCTGGTCGTCTAAGTGAAGACCTTCTGGTCGTCTATGAAAAGACCTTCTGGTCGTCTATGAGAAGACCTTCTGAGAACACCTAATCGTCTTCTGTATAAAGCCTTATTGGTTTTCATGGGAGCACCTTCTCGTATTTTATGGAAAGACCTTCCCGTCTTCTGTTAGAACAGCTTCTCGTCATCTATGAAAATACCTTCTAGCTTTTTATGAGAAGACTTTCCAGTCTTCTAGAAGACCTTCCATTCTTCTATAGTGAGACCCCCTGGTCTGGTCTGTATAAGAAGACTTTCTTGGCATTGGTCTTCAATAAGAACATCTTCCGGTCTTTAATGGGAAGAACTGCCTTTCTTCAAAGAAAGCAATTTTGGGAGATTTTTTTTTTTTTTTTTTTTTTTTTTTTTTTTGATAATCTTACGAAATTTTCGAATATGAGGCTAAGCTTCCCATTTGGTATTACGTGAATGGATAGAGGCAAAAACTTGAAATTTAGTATCAAAATCAAGGTTGAAAAGTAAGATTGATATATGAAGATTTTGGAAATGTGTACTAAGTGTGCGAATTATACTAAAACGTACTAAATTTGTAACAGTTTGGTTTAGGGTAAACGGATGAAGCTGGAATTTTGAAATTATGGTATTAGGGACGCTGTTCATATGTACCCTGGAAAATGTGTACTATAATTGTACGAAATGTACTGAATGGTACTATATTTGGTACTGGGTAAAGGGATATGGCCGGAATCCTCAAATTTGCTACTAAGGTCTTTCTTGGTATCTGGAATTGAGACATAAAAGTGATTTTGGAAAGTTGCATTAAAATTATACGAAAGGTACTAAATTTCGCATTGAGTGAATATATATAGCAGGAGAACCGACATTTGATATTGTGGTCTCTGTTTTGTATCTTATATTAAGAGCTGATAGTGGTTTTTGAAATGGGTACTATAATTGTACGAAAAGTACTAAATAGTAGTTAATTTGGTATTGGATGAAGGAATAGAGTTGATCTACACACTAATGTGTATGTGCAATATAGATCCATTTGGGATTGAAATAAACAAAACTTACCAACACACAAATATCTGTAAAAGTCATCAATCACAAAATCTGTCAATTTTCTTTAGATTTGTCTGTTGTGTATCGGAAGGAAATATGACTACCATTTCTGAAACTGCAGTGCTACTCCAAATCTAGCCTCAGTAAGAGTCCTTAAAAATTGCTCAAACCTTTTGAATCCGTTGAAACGATGCAAAATTTCTCAGCATATCAGACTGGATATATTAGCAAAAGAAATATAACGGAATGATGTCTTAAAAACATGATTATTTTGTCATTCTAATTTCTACTATATTGAATAAAATTTAATTTAATTTTATTCAATCCATCTACCCCCGTAAAGAACGCAATTGTTTGTTTTTCAAACAAATTGTCAATAAAAACACAATCGTCTAACCAGTTTTCATTTTAAAATTTGGGTTATATTACGAAAAAAAATTTATGAGAATAAGTATTTTCAGTTTGACTTTTTTGTGAAGTAAATATTTATTCGGATCAATTTGAATATTTTATTCAATTAATTTTTATTTACTTGTTTATGTTTGGTCTATATATAAATTTCAATAATTTACTTTGTTATCGATAAATTTATAAAAAAAAAACCATTTCATGGCAAAATTAGAAAATGTCTTTTAAAAATCATAAAAGAAAGGTTTATATTGCAATTTCTGAGCTCTATGACATATCTGCTACAAAATATATCTGCTACAAAAATAGAGTGCATATTCCGAAAGTTGGAGATTTAAAAACCAAATCGCATGAAACATATATATATGTTTGAAATTTTAAATTATATCTTTTATGCTAAACTCGGTTGAATTTCGAATAATCACGCCATTTAGGCTATATCCAAATCTGAGCCGATCTTCATAAAATTGAATACAGCTGTTTCTTGGCTGTATCTGATATTTGGTACAAAATATTATTCTTGCATCGTGCAGTACTTATTTCTATACTAAATTCTGTCTGAAGTGCCACACCATTTGGACTGATATTAGCCATTTGGTGCACAAGAAACCTAAAATCGGATGAAGATATATATGGGAGCTATATCCAAATCGGAATCGATCTTGATAAAATTGGCATCTGATATCTGGTGCAAAATATCAGTCTCGTGGAGTGCATATTACGAATGTGAGGGACATAAACACCAAATCGGATGAAACATATATATGGGAGCTATAGCTATATCTGAACCGATTTTCACCAAATCTGAAGCACATGCTTGTAGGCTAAATTCGGTCAGATGTAGCAAAATTCACACCATTTGGACTGATATTAGCCATTTGGTGCACAAGAAATCTAAAATCGGATGAAGATATATATATGGGAGCTATAGCTATATCTGAACCGATTTTCACCAAATCTGAAGTACATGCTTGTAGGCTGAATTCGGTCAGATGTAGCAAAATTCACACCATTTGAACTTATTTTAGCCATTTGGTGCAGAAGAAACCTAAAATCGGATAAAGATATATATATATATATATAAATATATATATATATATATATATATATATATATATATATATATATATATATATATATATATATATATATATATATATATATATATATATATATATATATATATATATATATATATATATATATATATATATATATATATATATATATATATATATATATATATATATATATATATATATATATATATATATATATATGGGAGCTATATCTAAATTTGGACCGATTTCCACCAATTTTAATAGGATCCGTCCTTGAAATACATGGACAGACGGACGGACATGCCTAAATCGACTCAAAATGTGATTCTATGCCGATCACCAAAAGGGTCTATCTCGTTTTCATCTCCATGTTACAAAGAAATGCACAAAGACATAATAATCTTACCACTATGTGGTGTAGGGTATAAAAACTTCATCTGCAAATCTTCAAAAATGATCTCACCAAATTAAAAATTGTGTAAAGAAATTTATATAAGTTTACATAAGCAATATTGGATGATTTCGCTTTTGAAATTATGTCATGGAGCACTGCCCAGATATAACCCTTAGCATTTTGACCAGGGACATCTGCCCAATATTTACGCACTCCATCGTGCTACAAGTAGTTGTGGTTCATTTTACGGTTAAATATAATTTAATGGTCATTCAAAATGCTAGACTTCTTCCCTCTCCTTAACTCCATGCTCAGGCGTGTCGATTGGCTCAATTGGGGATCAGGACATTTTTTTCTGGTTTTGGTTTATATGAGCCCCTAAATAATTTTGACTCTTCTCTATGATTTGCTGGTCTACAAAATCAGTATAAAAAAACCAGAAGTTCGCATTTTGTGTATTTCGGATATCGCCTGTAAGTAATGTTGGTATTTTTTTTCACACAAAATAAGTGGTCCATTTCACCCGCTGTCCTAATCTCTAACTTCATGCAAAATTTCGTGCCTTTGGTTTATATTTGTGACCTTTATAACGGCTGGAAAATCAGGAACATTTTTAGTTGTTAGTCCATTTCAACCCCTAAATATATTGCGGACATCTTTGAAAACATAGGGCCTAGCCCCACTGAGCCTAACCCTAGACTTGTGAAAATTTTCGTGAGTATCGGACGATAATTGCAATCTTTTTTTTCAATCTTTTAAGTCAAATTAAAAAAAACACATACGATAAAAAATTGAAAAAATACAAAAATGTCACAAAGTTCTATAAAATTATTGGCATCATTTTTATCCGATTTTTTAAGATTTTATTCTTTTATGCCAAGAGGGTTTTCTGAATTCACAACATATGTCAAAATCGGAACAGCCATTCTTGAGATATAAGCATTCGAGCTAGCATCCCCTTCCTTTGTATATACACATTGTATATATTTCGCT